ACTACACGCCCCCGATGCAGGTAAAACAAAGTAAGATGACATGGTTTACTTTTCTGCCGATTTACCCTAATTAAAAAAACTTTAATACTTCCGACAATGGACGTTTTGAAAAGAAGACAGATTACGGATTTAGCCACGGTTTTTTCATGATTCTACATTAAGATTTCAGCGAGATATAAACTGAAATAGACGCGAAAAGTACGCGATGTTGCCGACGACATACTCGACCCCAGAGAGTTAATACCTTAGGAGCCATGGGATTCAAACCGGCAACCTTCTGGACACAGGCAGGTTGCAAACCCACACACCACCTGTATGACTACATTTTTCTCCATTTTTACTCGAACACAAGTCAGACCATTTGGTCGGTTTCAGGGGCTTAACCTTCAATGCTCAGTATTACTCAGAACGTCTCACTGCCTGCTGTGTACAAATGAACGGGTCTTATTACCTCTTCTGTGATGGCCCAAGGCATTTTGGGAAGGAAGCTGAGGACAAGCTGAGAGAAGGCCTGATGAGGAACGTCATGCTCCAGCAGCAGCACCTCCGTCTCAGTCTCCTTATCCCCGGCGTTACCCAACGCCTTCACGAAGTGACCCTGAAACAACCAACAGAACCTCTCACCTCAGCCCTTCCTTTATCAAAGGTGCTTTTTCCTTTGGTAGCTATTACAGCAGATGAGAGACGTCACTCTTACGTTGGGGTATCTAGAATGCTTGGGCCAGCCATCAATGGCCACCATGATCCTCTGACCCGCCAAGGTTGCCGCCTGCCGGGTTTCTACTCTGATCCTGGGAATACGACGGTCAGCCGGTGTAAATAAATGTCTTGTTGCCTGTAAAGACAAATAAATACAGCATATAAATATATGCAAATATAAACACGCACAGCTCAGGCAGATTTGTCAGTGCAAAGAGGGAAGTCTGAACAGCAGGAAATCACTGAATTTAATTTTCAGTAATAACTTAAGTATTACTACATTTCTGCATCACCTCTTTGATGTGGGACTGAGAAAGCATCCCACAGAACGGTCTCCAGTTTCGTTTAATAATGCCCACCACCTTTCCGGTAGGTTTCAACAGGGCGTTGCTGGCAGCACAGTTCAGCTGAGAAGGAAACGTTAAAGCATGATTTAAACACACGAGACTAAAGATATACAACCAAATAAGTCAGGAAGACACCAACATCAGTGCTACACCTCGAGCAACTTCAACCGTGAAGCAAATTCAGTGTAAATTAGTTACGAACAGGTCCGATGTAATCATTCAGGCAGTTTCGGCTGGTCATTTTAGAGTATGAAAGACAAGTGGCTCGTTCCTTTAAGGCACAAACCACCACAGCCAGCCTCCAGCACAGCGCCGCGCTCTAACACTCAGGCAGGCGGCCTCTCACCACATTCTCCTCTTCCAGGTTCTCAGAGTCAGCCTTGGGGCCCTCGTCCAGGAGAACCAAGGAGGAGGGGGAGGCCCAGGCCTCCCGCGGCAGCAGCTCCATCGCCACCACATCCTGGTGCACGGCCCGGTTCAGGTTCTGCAGGCCTTGGATCAGAACCTGAGGCAGGTTCCAGAGGAAAGCAGAGGAGCAACTGGAGGTTAATGATCTTCAGTCAGTAAATTGATGGTCCCTGTCCAAGTGGACCCTACAGAACAAGCCATCGTGGACATGATGACCACATGCTGTGTTCCATGTACCTACGAGGTTGGAAGTAGGACCACCTCAGTTAACGGTCTTCCAGTACAAGTTGGAAAGCCAATCACCAATACCAGTTGATGATAACGCATCACGCAGCACGTTGCTTATACAGACACAGTAGCAACATGTCCGCAGATAGCGGCTGGACAGTCGTGTGTATGACCGGCACAAATAATACATAAGTGGTAATAAACACACGACTTGCTACTTGAAACTTCCGACTTTCCAGAACTAACCAATAGATCTCAAAAAACTTGCCTCTGTACTATCTTCTCCGTCGCCTTGGATGAAGACAGTGGCCTCAAGGTAATTATCCCTGCTAGCGCGGAACGTTCCTTGGAGGAGACTCCCACTCTTGATCCCGGCCTGGATGCGGGAGAGGGGAAGATGCTCCGGGAAGAGAACTTTACCGGTTGTGATTTCATTCTGCAGAAAAGTAAAAGTATTCAGATCCGTGAGTGAGAGACTTACTACTATCAGAAGCTGAGCAACGCACTGATAGCCTGGATACATACGATGTCATCTGAACTTAAAGCAAGTCGGTCCACCAGCTCAGGATTAGCAATCAAACTCTTTATATACTCTTCACCTGTAGTCATTAAAAGTCAAAAAAAAAAAAAAACATTTTTTTAAGGATGAACTAGCAGAGAAAACCAAAGACACCAGCAACATTGTGGAATGCTTGTAGGCATGCCTTACATTTATATGCACTCAGACCACACTCCTCCGCTTTCTGCTTGTTCGCTTTGTCATTCGTAAGTAAAATTATTTTCAGGTCTTGAGCATCTGGGGCCTTTTTCAAGTGTTCACTGTACCACTGCGCTGCAGTGCGGATTGCTCTGTCATTTCTGTCATTTGCACTCTCTCCCTGTTCTCGCTCGATGAACGTTTCCCTGTAAACAAATTATTGTAGGAATGTGAGAATATACATATGAAAATGTATCAGCCCAGTCTAATACAACTGCCATACAGAAAAGGGACGTAGCAAACACTGGCTGGAATGGATCATAAGAAGGGCATGTCCAAGCAGGCATCATTTTGCATCAGTACTCGATAGAATAAAAAAATTAAACTAGGAATACTCTGACAATGAATTAAAAGAAACACATCTGCTGAAATCAGCATATTACTGTTCACATAAGTGGTTTTCATTCATCAATAAAACACAAGATTAGGCTAATGTGTTAGTTACTGTGTAAAAAACGAACATTACTAATGTCCGGTAAAGGATGAAAAAGACACGAGTGCTACAAATACCTGTGATGTTCATTAGTAAAAGTGTAGAAATGTTTTGCTGCAGTATGGATGACGTCTTTGATTCTTTTGTAGACTGGGGCACTTCTATGTCTGATCTCTTGCAGAACTGTTTGCAGAACTATCACGTTCTTGATCAAAGGATCTTCAAGAATATCAATCTAAAGTAAACAGCGGGAACTTAAAATCAATTCACGTACTGAGATAGCATAGCTATAATAATTTAAGTCTTAAAAATTTATCAAACACAAACAGAAACACACACGCACGAAGATTGCAATACCTGATGTAATACAACGTTTGTGTCTGGAATTATGTAGTGAGGGGACGAACACAAGTCGCTTTCGATAACGGCTTCTTTCTGCAGCACGGTTGAATCATGTTTGCATTCAACACAAAATTCACTTCCACACCAAATGTCATCTCTCAGATAATGCTCACGGACTATCTTCATAACCCCACCGGAACGGGTTTTTTTCACAAATGTTTTTGACTTAAGCATTCTGCAGCTTACTAATTTCCCCTGTTTTTAAGATAATACATAAGTTTTCTTGCCTGGTACATACACAGCAACAAGCACTCTTGAATTAGGAATAGGAAAGGCACGTGTAGGTTGCTGTCCGAAATATGTTCTTTCCGGAGTTTTCCTACGCGGCAGTAGACTGCATATATTATAAAGAATGTTAGCCGTACTATAAATGTTTCAGTAGAATGTTGTAATATAATTTTATTAGAAAATACATAATTTGTATTTCTATGTTTAATGGACTAGTTTTTATATTTCTACCATGCTTTTGTATCATTCACTCTTCTATGTTCAGTCGGCCAACTTTATGTAGAACGACAAAAAAAAACTACGCACGGTAAGTGTAGCGCCTCTAGTGATTAGACTGAATCATCACACATAGCGGCAGGTCTCTTCTTTCAGGTTGCGCGTTCACTTATCGGTCTTCTTTGTTTCTGCTTTTTTGTGGTTCCAAATATTTTTTTATGTGTTCTTACATTCATGTATTGGAAAGCAGATTGGTTATGTGTCGATGTGTTGAATATGTAATATCCCCTCCAATAAAAACAAAATGCCTTATAGAGAGAAAGCTTCCAATAATCTTACCTAAATCTTAAATAATGAGGAAGAATGAAATATGGAAAGATCGAGCTCTCTTCTGAAATTCTATTTTTTTCTTGTAATGAACATGATATGGAGTCTGCAACATATATGAAAGTTATCGATTAGTTTAAAAATAAAAAGAAACATGCATTGAATTCCACATTTAATTTCAAATAGCATCAAATAGCAACGTCACCGTGACCCTATATTGAATAATTAGTACGTACGATCCATAATAAGAAAAATAAATACACAGTTTACTCCTAATTTACAGTATATACAGCAACCATATGCTTCCCCCCCATTTCTCCAGTCACCCTATATACAATTAACACCACTTCATTCTTATGCTGGTCATGCTTAAATGATTTTTAAAGTTAAATATAAAGAATCATTCCTTTAACAGAGTTATTTCTTTACAGAGTTTTTCTACGAACATAGACACTCAGAGGGAGACAGTCAAGTGCAACGCTCAGACTGTCAGGTAATGATTTGAGCAGAAATATGTTAAGTTTCGAGATTACTTTTTAACTATATACTAGTTAAAAGGGAGGTGTGTGGCTCAGCGAACTGTGCCTGTGATCAGGAGGTTGCTGGTTCAAGCCTTAGCAGAATAATCATGTCTCAGTCGGGCCCCTGAGCGAGGCCCTTAACCCCCAACCCCAGGGGTGCTGCACCCTAGCTGACCCCCATGCTGTGACCCCCCCAAAACTTGGTTATGGAGAGTGAGATGGGCTAGGTGCAAGGGCGGATTAACGCACAGGGTAGATATGGCTTAAGCCTAGGGGCCCCACGTGTGCCAGCCTGCAAGGGGGCCCCCATTGGCGCGGAGGGGGGTGGGGTTGGGGGGCCCACAGACTACTGTAGCCTAGGGGCCTCTATACACCTTAATCCGCCCCTGGCTAGGTGATAAGAGAATCCCCTTATGGGAATGAATCCCTTTATGGGAATGAACACCACGTCACTATTCTGTTATAATGAATCTGCTCCTTCCGCTGTGTGTTAATATAGCTATGTGCAAATATTAATCTGCACACATTTATTTTTTGTAAAATGCTTTTATTAAATATAATTAGCAAAACAGTCCTTGTCCTGTAGTTTGTTATTGATTATAACCATAAGCCTTGCTGCCAGTGAATTTTACTCTGTACAGTTGATAAATCGATTGAACTAGTGGAAAAACTGCACTGTACAGTACAGATTTACAAACTATATATTTTAAAATGGTTTAAAGAGTGTTTATGTTTCCCAAATATTTGTGTCATTGTGATTTAATCACTCCGTTTCATCATCATCTTCGTCATCATTATTATTATTATTTTTAATATTAAAATTATTAGGTGTGGTCAAGATGAAGCTGACTCCTGCTTACAGTACAGACAGCATTCCACGAGAATGTCCTGTCTCCAGTTCCTCATACAGGAAAAATCTCAATTTTTACAGGTTCCTTTCAGTCTGAAATCTTCCATGCCTTTAAAAATGGAGGGGGTGGGATGCAAAACATTCTCACTCATACTTTAAGATTGCAACACCAGATTGGATCTGAAAATAGAGTGTTAGAGCCAAGGCAGTGTAACTTACGGGCTGGAAAACATTTTAGCTGACTTTCTGCACATTTTATCATTACTCGCAAAAACACAGAGTGTGGGATTCTAGAATTCTGTGAAGTGGTTATTAGGAATGTGACAGCACACAATTAAACTGTCTTCTCCAGGGCAATGAAAGCAGATGATCCTGAACGGCAAAGTCGAAGATCTGACTGAATCCTTTTCAGAATCCATGCGATCTGTCAAAAAGGATGAAAGCCACTTCACGAAGCTTGCGGAGTTTTAAAGGGCAGCTTCATATACTGACGGTGCTCATTTAGGGTTCTGAATATTCAGTACTCGTCACAATTGATTGATCTTACCCTTAAACACGGTTTGAATTAATGACATAGTGGGTGTATCATGTATGCATGCAAGATTTAGGGCCTTTAAAAGAAGGAACATGAATTTATGTGCAGTACTAGCTGATCAATAATCATTAATACTAGTTCACACAGGTTCTGTAGCCGTTCTTTTATTCGCTATGGGTGTGTGACACTGCGTTGCAGTTTGTAGGACTGGAAACGCATAAATAAACAAATACAGCAGTTTTACGACAAAATGGATTCACCCAGTGTCGAACGATGCGTCTCAGCTGGTTTTTTAAGTTGTCACAATTCTTCACAATTTGGAATTAGAAGTGAAGAGAATGCAGGCACCAAAGTAAACATATTAAGCAGACTTTCTCCCCTAACTAGTTCTACATGTGAACTGAAGGTACATACAGTACAACAGGGCTACATGCTTAAGCATGCTTAAGGACAAACTTTTAAAAGTTACTATAAAGAGAGAATTTTGGCTCCGCAAAGCCTATCGTTAAAGCAGGCCGTGACTTTATTTCCCCCTACACGAAAGGTTCCACACAGGAATATTTCTTAGGAACACTTTTGCAATACCTGTAATTAGTGCGTGTGTGTTTGTGTTCTTTTAAGTGAAGCCAGGCACGCAAATGTGGAAGCTGACATCAGTTCTCTTTGTGACTTATGACATTTGTTAACAAACTTGAATGACCACTTCTAATAGGTCGGTGATTAAACCACAGCCTTGTGCCTTTTCCCAGCTTTTAACATTTGGGTGGTAGAATGAAAAGTCCCACATATATCTCATTACCTTCATAATGACATCATTAATATAAACATATTAAACACTGTAAAATAATAAACATCACCATCCTGGCACTAAACGTCTGATGGTATAATCAAACAGATAAGTGAATTTGTTGCTGGGTGAATTGTGACTTAAAGATTTAAAGGACTCAAACTGAAGACTGAAAGCCGTGTTCATAATGAAGTAGCCAAACATTATCTCTGTGTTGTTGCTGTCAGTTACTGGACAAGGTATAACCATTTCATGCAAGTATCATACCTCGAAAAAGTTACATTGAGCTGTGACTGTTGGTTAAACTTGAATTTGAAGCTTTTTTAAAAACCACATTTAGGTTGAATCATAGCAGTACTTTTGGTAAGCATATATGTTTTGCTTATTTTGTCACATTTATGTTTCTTTTCTTTTGACCTTAGTTTACACACATTTGGTTGTTCAGTTTTCTCCATATGATATAATTTATTAATGAAGCATTGACTATGTTTCTCGGGTTTTGTAATGAACCCGAAGAATCTTCTTGCAATTATTTTATCACTGACAAGAAGCATTCCTTTTATAGCAAGCCCAGCCACAGCTGTGACAACATCTTTATTCTCTGGCAGGAAAAAAGTTTGCATATTAAAATGAACGAGATGACAGAAGGACATCGCGGCTTATGCAGAGTATGGCTCTGCGTGCCGACCCAGTGATCGCATGAGTCTTGCACAGGAGCAGGGGGTTATTGCTCCATCTCTGCTTGGCATTCCTTTTTTGCGCAGGTCAGAGAAGACTGGAGCTGGGTAGCTGTGAGCGCATGCCTGACATTCCGGCAGATCCGCAGCGCAGTTGCTGGGCATACTCAGAGTTTATATTAAGGGGGAAAGGATTGTTCCCATTCACATAAGGGCCGGATCGTGAGCCAAAAATGACAGATGCAACTGACATTATTTAAGGAATTTCTTGTGCTGTACTATTTATGGAAATTTTAAAGAAATGCATATTTCACACATTCTTATTTGAAGCAGGCTTGTGTGTGTGTGTGTGTGTTTTATCATTTTTTATCTGTTGTTTAAAATGCAAGACATATTTAAAATGAAATTATCACAGTTCTGAGCTTTCAATTTAAAAAAATGCTGAAATTATGAGTATTATTTTGAAAAACACCTGTCCAATATAATTTGATATCATGCCACTAAATGCACTGCCTTTGGTTTATCTACAGGAAATATCTATCCATAGAGATTCATATTTGGGCTATTTCTATATACTTATTTAAATCCTATGCCAGTGGTTCACTGAAGTCCTTTTCTGGTGTAACAGACCATCTCCGTGAGCTATTGAGCTGTCTACAGTATGTAATGCCATTGGAAACACAATTTGAAGGATGTTTCATTCTCCCTGTAACCCGTTAGAAGGTTCAGAAGCCCTTTGAACTTGACTGCACTCAAAGAGACTAACAGGAAACTTTAGATCAAACACACGTGCCATGCAGAGGTAACATACTCCTCTACCTTCTTTTTCCTCCCCCCTGAATTTTTCCAGCCAACCCAATAAAACCTTGCAAAAAATTCCAATTATTCCCACTAGGGCCAGGTGGGTTTCATTAATTGGGTTACCTGTGGGCTGGTGATCAAACACGAATGCAGAGCCAAATACAACTCCGGTGCCACCCAGAGGTCCACGACTCCACAAATCAAGTTTCAATTTCCAAATCTCTTTTCCCAAGCATTTACATTTATAGACTTGCCCTGGAAAGGCACTTAGGGTCTTATCTGGACCAAGTAAGCATGCCACATCGGAACGGTATGCTGATAAAGTGTAATAGACGGAGTTCTTTTTTATTTATAGCCGTAAAATGGGTGGAAAAGTAGGCTGTGTGGTGATGATTCTTTCCATCATGGCTTCCTCTGAACTCCTCAAGCACTGTGGCTTTTCAGCGTTTCACATTTCTTCAACAGGCATTTGCTACCATCATTCTCTGTGTGTAGATAATAAGTCAATTCCCACTCTGTCCTCTCATTGTAAACAAGGAACGAAAATATTCATAACTAGCAAAATATTGTATTTTAATTACATTGCAGAACTAATTATTGACAACTCTGTGCCGAATTTTGAATTGTAAGATATCATATCTAAGTACTGCAACTTCAGAAGTAAAGTACACCGATAAGACATTTTAAATTCTGAAAAAAACGTACAGCAGGCTTAGCCTGGCATGAGTTTGTCGACATAAAATGAAAGGTTTGGCGTCAATTAAAAAGTGTTCATTTTTCCTCACCTGGTTGATGGTCATATACAGAGAAAGACACAGTCCATCCTGTACTCTTAAGTGCACATTAACGAATATGCTTGATGTAAACCCAGCTAATGGTATAAATCTCCTGCCAGACACTAATGGTCACATATAAGCAAAAACCAGAATTACTAAAAAAAAAAAAAAAAAAAAAAAAACATTGATGTTTTATAAACCAAGAATGCCTATTTTGGAAAGAATAGCTTATTATCAGCTATGGTATGGTATTAGCATATTAACATGTTAATATGGCCAGAAACAGGCTCATTCACTGACTACAAAATACATTTCACTGCCAAAATGACATCTTGATGCTCTATGTATAGTGACAATAAACTGTCTTATATTAGATTATGTTATTTTATCTTTTATAATGTTTCCTAAATTTCTGTTCATTCATCACTGGGTTCAGTGACATTTAGGTTTGGCCTTATAAAGGAACAGCACAGCCCAATGGATGGTGCACTATCTGCTTGGGACACTCTGTGCCTCTTCGTTTTTAACTTTTTCACTGCATGTATTTGTTTTGGTTGTGTGTAAACCATGTAAAACATAAATATGCATGCCAACTAAGTGGCACAGGAGGGATGCATATAACTTGAAAGAAATGGAAGAGCTTTTTATTGGCAGTAAGAGATTGTCATAGCTGTCACACCCAGTTTGGTGCATGCACGCGATTAACAGCGCAGCCCTTTGATGAAGGGAAGGGCCATTTCTCCTTGTGCAGAATTCCGTGTCTCTTTCATGGATGGGATACTTTCACATGGTATTTTCTGTTGTCCAAAGATGAACTACTCGTGAATATATACATATTTTTTTTTTTTACATTGCCACAGGTGTAGTTTTGGGAGTATTGACAGGGGCTAATATATTTAAAACATCACTCCCTGTATGTTTTAGCAAATCATAAAGACGAAGACAAAAATTGCATCACAAAAAAAATAATTTTAAATCTCCCAAGTGTTCTCACCCTCAGTCAGAAGTTTTGTCCTACATTCAGTTTATTTTGGCGAAACACAGGGTCCCAGGTACGAAAAGTGAATCGATCTTGCTGCTGCATTGGTGAAGGTATATAGAAAGGAATCACCACAGGAATAACATCCCTCTTTTGGCTGTAGCTATTTGAGAGATGGAGGTTTCCCAGCTGCCCACAGTAAATTCATACATTAAGTCATATACTACATCCCTGATTTATAATGTATAATGCATGTTAACTGGTTTCTGTCAGTCTGTAGCCCCATGGAAAAGACCTCAAGTTGGCATTACGCAGCAAAGGCAGCCCAGTCTGGTTCACTTCAGGCCGTGGCTGCTGCACTGCTTCCTTCAGACCTGTTTTGAGCCGGTCGCTTTAGGGAAGCCGGGCGTGGGAGTGCTGTGGAGCAGGAGATCAGGTCCGATACGGTGGCAGCTTCACTGGGAAGTATATACAGAAGCTATTCGGGTTTGGAGAAATGTGCTCAAATAAAAAGCCTGAAGAAGCGACGTTGTGGGGGGGGGCGGTAAATAGTGTTGCTATGACGTGTTTAATTACAGCTTTTCCTTTATTGCCTTTAGAACTCAGTATATTTGCCGCGTGACAATGAAGGCCAGCTTTTGACTCACGGCGTCTGACGCACGTTAGTATTATAGAACTATACATTATTAGTTCCACAAAAGACTCTTCAAGGCGTAAATCAGAAAGCCTTCGTTTGAAAGGATGTGCGACACTGGGTGGTGCGGGTTTAGGCGCACGTGCAGCCCGCAAAGCTACCGTCCCAGGCCGTCGCCACGGGCTGCTCCTCGCACCTGCTGCTCGTGCTTGCATCACACTTTGATTCTCCTGCTTTGAAAATACGAACCCTTGCATCGTCGCTAATTGTCTCCATGTTTGAGTGTTCCGTGCAAATGCCATTTAAAATTTTCCTGATGTAAAATACCCTTTCTTCAGCCATAAAGTGAGGGAAGTTCATAAAACATAAAAAATGCGTGGTGGGCTAATAACTAATAATAATAATAATAATAATAATAATAATAAAAATTACCATATAAGCTTACTGCTAATAAATATAGTCCATAAAGCAGGTGAAATATTAAGTAGAAAATACTTGTTTTCCAGTTATACCCGTTTATTCGCCTGGAGTAGTAGCGTCTTCCTCTTTATCGAAGGTGATATGTGTGTTTTTTGCATACAGACATACTGTATTGGTCTTTACTCGTCTTTATTCTATAATATATAGGGCTATTTTCATCCAAACATTCACTGAATGTTCCCCACTGGCATCGTCTTTGCCGACTTCAACAACTTCCAGTGGCATGCTGGCATAAAGTATGCAGTCCGCACAGACAGCTGCACTGCAGTTCAGTTGACTTACGCGCCAGCACATATGGCGGGGGCGCGATAAATAGAAATATTAAATGACCCAGAGCCGGGACTCAATCCGCTGAAGAGGCAGCATCTGATTTGACACAACAAGATGCTCCCGCTCCACTGACAATAAACACAAAATAGGCTTTAGTTCACTGATTCATTTTCAGATATATACTGTCGGAAGAATGCATTCTGTCAAGTGTCACGTACGTGTGCTAAGTATTTGGAATTTATAATATTTTTATATTAAGAATCAATTCGTCACCCATCCGTTTTCTAACATCTTATTCTTGTTAGCGTCCCGGACAATATTAATAATTTCGTATTAAAAAAGAATCAGCCCAGCGTTAAGTTGCCATACAAAGCGAATGTCTTACCATAGTAACAGGTGCTGAGGATTATCTACCTGTTATTTAGGGGGTGCAGTAATATTTTCGAAGTTGGTGTCCTCTGAACTGTACCACTCCTTGAAATATTTGTGCTGATTTTTTTACGACAATAAAGACAATAAACTCATTCCTCATTATGTAGCCTACTCTTATAGACGAGTCCAAACGATGTCTACAAAGTAGTTTGAGAGTGTAATTCATGCATGCAATAGATGGATGGACAATGAAATGGCGAAGATTTTCCATCGTGAATGGAACAATCAATGTTTCGGCGCTTACCATTCAAAACCAGTGTTAAAGTCCCACAGACAGGGATGCCTCCCAGAAGCCATTGCCCAGCATGTTGCAATCCGTGTACTTCGCTCTGTAGAAGTACCTTGCTATTATTATTTTCCAATATTGTTGGATCGGGATTAAAATACATGCCGTTTAGTTAATTTTTCTTTTGATGTTGTCAGAACCAGCTGACGTTTTGAGTTAAATCCTTTAACAAATCTACTGATAAAATCGTATAAATTGCATTCCCAGTTGTTATATATTGAGCCAGTTCTACAAATATTTTCCCGATATGTTAAAAACAGATATTTTACAAATTGTTTGTTTTTGTAAACAAAACACGCAAACACAAAAGGGAGTTTTACACCAAATCCTTTAAACACTTTTAATGAGTGCTATCATTACTGGTTATAATTGTCGTGAAGCACAGGTCTTTCTGGAAATATAACTTTGTTGTTGTAGTTTCTATCTCGCTGAGGGATCTTAAGGAGGTTTGTCAGACACCATAGGCGAAGCCTTTTGTCAATCCAGCACCCGGCGCTCCGCCCCGATCCCGAAGCCCCGCAAAACGAGCCGGGCGTAAATCCTTAAATTGTAGCCTAAGATAGGCGGAGGAGGCGCGTTTAAACTGTCGTCAGCTTGGCTCTTTCACGCAGGCGGATCTTTTTTTAAAAAACGGCGAGCGCTCGGTCGTGTCATATGTGATTAAGCTTTGGGGAGCAGCGTTTATGGTCACGATGTTAACGATCAGTGCTGGGCTGGGTCCGGGGGAGGAGGACGCCTTTTACACACTTCTAAAACCAGCGCAACCTGAAGGTGTCCAGGGGGAAGATCTCCAGCAGTTTACTGTGGATACAAAGAATGTAGTCAGGGGAAGGAGTCTACAAAGTAACTACACTCAGGTAAATCCTGTTTTCTTATATACATGGACATTTTTAGTATTTTTTTCTTTTTAATTTTTTTGTAAACATATCTTGGAATCCAAGTGCAGAATACAAAGTGCATTCATTTCAAGAATAATGATGACCTTAGTAAATGTTTCGTGTAGGTGTTTTCCGCATAGGATATATGTATAGTAGAATCTGGTATATTTAATAAGATACCGCAAAGTAATCTTTTTTTCCCAATTAATGCGAATGGGGAAAATCAAAGCGGGTGGGATATATAATCCCAGCTGTTTTATTTTTCTCTCTCCCCCCCCCCCCCCCCCCCCAAGTGAAACTAAGGTAGGAGACGGCGGGTCTGCTGATCCCGGCCGCTCGGCGTAACTGGCTGCAGCGGCCGCTTTGCGGACGGTCACTCAGCCCGCCCACGCATGTCATTCCAGCGCTGAGATTAAACTTCTCAGCACCGCTGACGTCCGTGGGGAGATTCGGGAAAGCGATACTCTTGGGTCGGGGTGCCGGGGACCCGTCCTTTACGATTGTGTTTGCACACAGATATATACACGCTGCAGATGCGCTGCTTAAAAGGCGACACCGCTGGTAGAGAAAATGGGGGAAATGAAATTTATTGCCAGAACAGCACGATTCCCACTACATGCTCAATTTGTCAGCAGATTCTGTTTTAGGAATGGCTATGACCGTGTTTTTTTTTCTTAACATGAGAAGGGGGAATGTCGCATAAAGTCATTGAGGAGCACTCGATAAATATTTTAACGCTGACTGCGGTCGACCGTCATCCACCCACGTAAGCTGTAAACGCTTCCCAATGTCGCCATTCATATGCTTCTGTACGGTTACAGGTTTTAAGATTTATTTGGATTCGGACTGCTAATGAATGCGTCTGTCGTTGATGACAGCGTTTGGATTCAGCGGTTTAAGTCCAGTGCATAACTGGGCCGTTTCTCTCCAGTTGGGGCCTGTGAAGTGGAGAGATGTGCGGCACTTATTAATTCTTATTTAAAAAGTAATATTTAGTATTAGCATGAACGGGTTGTGCCTCATTATTGTTGTCCTTCCTCAGGCAAAATTAGAGATGGAGAAGTACATGTCACATGAACCTTCGATTTTGCAAGAGGCCAATAAAGTGAGGCGGGACGGGGTTTCCATGGTGGACCCGTACTTTACCGAAGAAGGCTCCCCATACAGCATCAACATGAACGTTTTTCTTCCCGACCTTGCCTACCTACGGGCTGGTTTGTGTAGACCGCCGAGGGCCGGCACTCCGCACATCAAGGCGGAGCCCGTTCAGTCTTTCCTGCATCCCAGTTGTTCCCACAGCAGCACGGCAGCGACCCTGCCAGAGTTCACCAGCACCTTCAGTCTGTCGAATGGGCCCGGCGTCAACGGTGTTTACATCAAGCAGGAAATGCCCTCGGCTGACATGGCCCAGGACGGCTCCTTGTTTCAGCTCCTCAACTCCGAGATGGACGTGTCCCTTCAAGGAGACTTGGCCAATGTCGACCCACATAGTGGTCTCCCCATAACCTCCCCGGTCTCCAACATCACCAGCATGCACTTCGTTGACCAACAGACTGGCGTGAAGCCCTTTTGTAACATGCATAACATGGGCTATTCCCTGCCCCCCAGCTTTGTCCAACAGCGTCATAAAGCGCCCTATCTCCCCCCCTCGCCGCCTAGCTCCGAACCCGGGAGCCCAAACAGACAAAAAGATCCCCAGCATAATCTAACACCCCCTCCGTCCTATGCGGCCAGCATTGCCTCCAGACTGAGTGTCCACAGTCCCGGTCTTCCATCACCCATGCATCCACCCATGCCTGTCAAGTACAACCGCCGGACGAACCCCGATCTGGAGAAAAGACGGATACACCACTGCGACTTCCCAGGTAACTATCCCCACGCGTCGGTGTTCGCCAGGCTGAAAGGGCTTTATATCCTGTGGCTTTGCGGAGTCAGTTTTTCCGTTTAGACCTCGTTTTTTGTACCGCAGTGTTTTAACCGCCACTGAACGATTAATAGAAAACAGCCTCTGAATTTACACTTAATCCCCAAACGGTGGGAAGATCAAACAAACAAACAGAAATGGGTGTCAGCAGGGTGCTTCGTTCACACATGAAGGCTGCGGTAATGTGACGCACATTTGGAAAAGATAAAGTGCTACTTAATGGCGTCTCGTTAAACCGACACTGTAAACATTACCATATTTCTGTGGAGTACGGTTAAAGTGTTAAACGTATTATGCATTTAAGGTAGCGCCACATTCAGGTCTAATCAATTTTTTTTCTGCCTTTTAGGATGTAAGAAAGTGTACACCAAGTCGTCTCATCTAAAGGCCCACTTGCGGACTCACACAGGTAAGGACTGGAATGAGCCGTGTGAGTAGGGAGCTGCAGAAGGTGCCGGCCTCCGGACTTGGCAGGTCTCGCCGGTGTTGCTAGGCAGAAATGAGCTTTTGGCAAACGGTCACATTTATTCAGCATGCTGCCTGAACACTATCCCACACGGCTTCCCGGGATAAAATTCCAAGTTTAAAATAAATAAATAAATTAATATTATGGTTTTTATTAAATAATAATAATAAAAAAAACCCAGATTGATCTCTGTACGTGGAGCTGATCATTGGGCTTTTCTTGATGTGGTATATTTTTGTTTCCAGTTTACTTTGCCCTTAAATTAGGGTTTGATGATGTAGTAGTGGCTTCGACAAACTTTTAAAGATTCTTCAGTGTCTTAATTAAGTAGAGGTCTGCATAGTCCAGCACATTGCAGTGTATGTCACAGTAGATTACTAATGGTTAAAAATTGAATGCATACATACATACGCACTCTGAAGGGAACTCTGGTTCAGGGCACTATATGGACTGACTGAAGGGTCTGTTTCCATGTAGGCATCAGTATCGCATTAATATGATGTTTTGCTGGAGTTTGTACTTTCAGAATTGGGTCTGTTCTGCATCTTGGACGAATTGGATGGATTGACAGGTGGATAAATCAGTGATGTGTTTCTGTTTTATCTGGCTGCTTGTTGTATGGATGTGTAGTTAACCCTTGTTTCAAGGGAAATCTCTACCTTTTTAAGGATGTAATTAAATTGTAGATAGATGGACAGATAAGGGATCCTGGTGGACACACTAGGCACAATTGGCATTTTTTGATCAACCATAAATATGTGCATCATTTAATGCTAGGAAAAATTTCATTAATATTTCATTGGCTACTCTGCCTTTGTTCCCCTGCTTTATGTCCCACTGCCAATGGGACGCTTCCTTTCACGTCATTCAGCACAAACACACCGGGCAGTCATGCCGCTTGTACGTCTGTGGTCATTATCTGAATTATCTAAAGAGGGGACTTTGCCGTTCTCAAATGATCTTTATAATAGCCTGGTAATCACCTGCGATGGAGACAATCCTTGCTGTCCTTTGCAGTGGAAAGTGCTCGAGGCAAAGTCTGTACACCCTTGGTAGTTCAAACAGGTTAATGCACGTCGTCTTTGTTTGGTGTTTACCTGTGTCCTGCCACAAATCCCATCGGAGAGCTTCTCTTTTGTCCTCTGTATTCTAGAAACTGCATTTTGAAAAGTCAGTTCAATCTTACTTTCCTGTTCTAAACCTTAAATTACCTTATGTACTCTCAGTGTTGTCAGGTCACTTCAATGTGTTCTAGAAATATGTGATAGTGTAATACAGTGTTATAAGGTGATTTTTTCCTGCTACACGTATTCCTGATTGTATCCTGTCTTTATTTGGGTTTATATGTCTTTATATTGTCTTTTTATGTCCATTTCTGGCACAGTAAATGCAACAAACTGTATATTATGCATACGTTTGGCAAAACTTCTGAGTGTAACTTAAAATGAAAACCCTTTTGGTTTTTACTGTATTTCTGTAATGTTCTGTATTGTCACAGGGCTGTTTATTTGGCCGACCACGGCAAGGAGGGGCCAGCTTTTGTTCGCATTGTCACGGGCACAATAGTCACAACTGGTTTGGCTTCATGTTTGTGTAAATCCGTGTCGTTTTAGGGGAGAAACCATACAAGTGCTCTTGGGAGGGCTGCGACTGGCGCTTCGCCCGCTCCGACGAGCTGACGCGACACTTCAGGAAGCATACAGGGGCCAAGCCCTTCCAGTGTGCCGTGTGCAGTCGCAGCTTCTCCAGGTCTGACCACCTGGCCCTCCACATGAAGAGGCACCAGAACTAGCTTGGTGCTTCTTCACCATCCTCTTCATCATGAGCCGCCTCGGTCACGTTTTTATGTGAAACGATTCTGTCGCCCTGTTTAGAGATATTATTTTCCTTTACTTTTCAAACTTAACTTTCAGAACTAACCCATTCCATTTTGACATGCTACATCAGAGGTGTTATTTTTCTTATGTATGTTAAAAATGGGGGCTGCAGGGGCTGCTTTGTGCTCATATTGTTTATATTTGATGTTGCCCCTTTGCCTTTGTTTTATTAATAACCAATGGGTTACATCCTCACTGACACGTCAATGTCCATTTAAAAGTTGCAAAATATTGTGTACAAAGAAATTCTGGAAATGTATTTCTAGAATTCTGCTTCTGCAAGCACTAAAATATTTATTTTTTCTACTTTTTTACTACAAATGTAAAGAAAAAGCATGGTATGCCATTTTACATAAGGTGTAAAGTTGCAATGGAATTTGCTTTTAGGTGTAAGTGTTCCACTATCTTCTTGCACTCTTGCCTGAGTGATATAATCAACATATTGCCAAGTGATCTTGTAACAATGGATTGTTCAGTGTTTTGACTCAAGCACCTGGTCAGTATAATAATGCATCATCAAACTGTCAGGAGAGTCCATTGAAGACAGTCGTACAACTGCGGCTCATGACATACTGAAATCTAAATAACAAAGGTTTGAGTATACTTGAAACTTAAAATACTTCCTGTCAAGAATGATTACTTTGGTTATTGCAGGTATTCAAAGTACTTATGACTGAAGTGTATTTATGTATGTTGACCAAAATTGTGTAAGTTATTGACACAATGGAATTTTGACGATTTGATTATTGCTCAAAAACAATAAGTATTTACGGTACCTAATTTGCATTTGTCAACTATTTCAGAAATGTACAGTGGTGTTCAGTACAAAATTCAGATTTCATCTATACACATAAAATCTATAAACATAAAATTCCATTTGCCAGATTAAGCTCCTTTACTGAATACTTGAAGTCATGTTCTTTATAGCTATAACTGGAAAATGCTAATCATCATTTCACAGCACTGGACATTTAAAAGGTTTGTCATTAGTAAATAATCACTCTTCTGTCTGAAAAAAAGTTTGTATCAAGGCTAAAAAAGTACAGCTACTGATCATTAATAATGTATTTATAACCATTTATAAATGGGATTTAAAAAAAAAATCAAATTAGACTAAAATAACTGAAACAGACATATTGTACAGACACGTCAAGACTTTTTTTTTTTTTTTACAAATATATGCATGCTATTTATGATTTGTTTCAGATTAATGAAGTGAAATGAATGTATAGCAACACACTGACATGTTAAGAACAGCCTTTTCATTATTAAGTGCCTTTTAGGTTTTTCAAAACAAAACCTTGGAAATCAAGTCTTTCTCAGTGGTTTATTTAGTGATATGATTTTATATTGGATTTGGGATTCCTGTCTATTATACAAAATGCTGGTTATTTACTGGAAATTTCATTTTTTTTAATTTTGTAGCAGAGTGATATCAGGTACGTGGACAATAGGTAATTTTATGTAACTAAAATGATGTAAATACTTGATATGCAGTGTACATGGCTTTCATCAGGTGTAATTGCTTTCTTTTAACAGTTCAAACAAAAGGGCAAAATTATAGATCGCCCCGCTGCCACATTGTGTGATTTATTATTGTTATTACTATAATTATTATTTTTTTTGGCTTGAAATATATTTTCTTTAAATATTTGTGAAAAGTGTATAACGAGATCTACTGAAATTGCGACGTTGGATTGCCACTGTTTTTGGCAAGAGAAAAATAAAGGTTTCCTAAAGGTAGTTTGGGATATTTTTGCAGTTTTTATTTCTTCCACATAACCCTACATCTGCTACTGTTGTTTCAGGATACTTTATATATTTCTGTGAAATAGATGTAGATCACTATTCATGTTTCTGTGACAAATGACTGTTTTTACAGATCTGTATGTGTGGAGCTTGGCTCACTTCAGTGTCCTTTGGTTACTCCAGCTTCCTTCCACGGTCTAAAAACACACATTCAAGTGAACTGGCTTATCTCCCAAATGTACATTTATTTATTTACCAGATGCTTTTGTGTAAAGCACCGTACAGGTGAGGCAAAGAGTACATCACAAGCTCAGATTTGTCGAGGGGCCATAAGTGTGGCCAGGCTGAGCTTCCAATGAATGCTCAGGTAGGAGTGCAACTTGGCACTGGGGCAAGAGGTCTGCAATATATTACAAATTTGGCAAGAACCAAATAATAAAACTATAAGCTATTCAAATCAAAACAAATGTACAAAAATAAGAGCATTTGGAATATGCAAGAGAGCAGATTAAGGGATCACCGATGAAGACTGAACAGGTCTCTGGTTGGAGGACTAGTTGAGGTTCTCCCGGAACAGATGGGTCTTGAGGTGTTCCACGCCATGTGTTTGTGAGTGTGTGCCCTATGATCAATTAGTATCTCATCCAGGTTCTTCCCCTGCCTTGTGCCCTATACTGCCTAGGATAGGATCCAGACCACCCTGCAACCCAGTCCTGAACAAGTAGTTGGATGGATGTATTCTTTGTGTGTGTGTGGATTATGTTTATATTACATTTTGGGGACCAATTGTTCCCCATAATGTGATTAAAAAACTGTTACTTTGGCATTGTGGGGACCATTATTCAGGTTCCCACAAAGATTGGTGAATGCGATTGAAAAACTAAAAATGCCAAAAGTCATATTTTGTTTGGTTACTTATGGTTAAGGTTAGGGCTGGATAGGGGTTAAGGTCGTCATTGTTGGGATTAGAGTTTTCCTCATAGAAATGAATGGAGAGTCCCCACAAAGATATAATTACAAACGTGTGTGTGTGTGTGTGTGTGTGTATGTGTGTGTGAGAAATTATATTAGAGCAGTAATCATACACATATTCATTGTGTAGTGTTCGGTAAATTATTTTCGGTTCGGTGCGCAAAATAAATGTGTCCATTTATTGATACAGACATAACATAAATTCACAAGTATATGTCCAATATGGGAAACATTATGCTAATTGTGGTTGTGAGTTGGTTACGGATAACGCTGGTTGCAATCAATCATAATCGGCGGTTTAGGCACATTTTGGTTTCCCAGTAAACTTGCCTGGTTCAGCACTTGAAAGAAGGACAGAGACAAAGAGAGAGTTGTTGGTAAGACCAAGGCTGTCTGTCGGCTCTGTTTTACCGAATTCGGGTATGTTACTGGAAATCAACGTGCTAACTCAACTGAGACGACATCATGCATGTTTGCCTACAACCGCAGCAAGACAGAAACCATTTCCCTGTGGCATATACTGTAGGGCAATACTGCCTGGCAATTCAGACCTGGCAGTGATAATATGTCTATAAGGATGTTTATCCCTACAGATCAGCAACCGTACTCGGTAGTAGAGAACACGGGGTCATTATCATTGTTATGATGCTATTTAAATTTTGTGCAGGGAAGCCTCTCTTAAGTTTTGTTATTCAAACAAATTGACAGACGCATTGCCTGTGTTCTGTAACTATTCATAATCTTGTTTGTTTTTGCAGGTTTAATAATAAATTATTCCAAAACAAATGTTTTCCCTGCTGCACCGATCAGTGAAACCAAAACCAAAGATTGAACCGGATCGTGAATTTCGTATATCGTTACTTTGGCATATAAACGTAAAGGTTTGATTTTTTTGGATATAGAAACATTTTTTTAAATAAATATGTTAAACTTAGGAGAAGAATGGAATTTGAATTATATCATAATAATGATCACATCATACTGTGATCATATCACTAATCAGAATTATCACCAGTAGGCTATATGCAGAACATTACACATTGTACCCACTGCTGATGTGATAGCACAGCACAGATAATGCACGATATACAAGCTCAAAGCTTTTCTTAGATAATTAGATACAATTAAGTGTTAAGGGATACTCAGCCATCTGTAGTAGTAAACCTTAAGATAAGGATCCACGGGCAGTTTTTCACTGGGCTGCAGAACACTGGGGGTTATGCAGAAGGGTTAATTTCCAAAAATAAAGTATAATTTTTCACTTTTTTACGACCCCCTCACCACATTCTGTTCGCATTTGGAAAAAAAAAATGGACTTACTTACAAAATCACATACCTTTCCGCCAGCTCCCTGGCTTTTTCACTGGTCCGTGAAAATTTTGAACATAAACCGGTCTGTGAACTATGGGTGTCGTTAGGTCCGATCACTCGGGGCTATAGCCCCAAGTATTTTAAGCCTATAGCCCCAAGTATTTTAATCCTAGCCCCGAGTATTTTAATCCTAGCCCCGAGTATTTTAGCCCTGACGCCAAGCTTCCTTCAAAAAAATAAAAGACAGGCCCCAGGCAAATTTCACATAGTCCCTGATCTTGTCATTAGCTAGAACCGCTCCTACTGTGAACATCAAAATGTTGGGAACCCTAACCTTGAGGTACAAGAAATTAGAATATTTACATATGATATTAGTAGGTCTATTATAAAAATGAAACCAATAGTGTATAAAAATATATATACTCAAGGCTGAACTTCTGCTTGGGCTAACCTGGGCTGTGGCACAGGGCCCCAAGTAATAGGAGGGCCCAAAAATGTTGAAGGTAGAGCCACAAATATGACTACATTGTATACTTGCTTTAATATTACTGCAAGTCAGACTTTTGTCAGAATCATAATCATGTCACTTCTCCTGCAAAGTTGCAGCCAAACAGATTTAATGATAATGACACTTCATCTGCCATGTGTGCAAACACAATTACAACTACATAGAAATTCTTTGGTTTTTGCTTATCCAATTTTGCTCTCCTATGAGATACATACTGTAGGAGGGTCAGCCATTTCTCCAACGTCCCCAGAAGTAACGGTCTTACACAAGAACGCAGCAGTGATAGAATTCTGTCAGCCAAGAAATTTGAATCGGTGACTTGAGGCACCTAAACTTCTTCACTAAGACAAACTCTCCTCCCTCATCTGAAAGAAACAATGTGCTTTTTCAAGGGAGGACCACTGCCTCGGATTTGAAGGTGCTGATTCTCAGCTCTGCCACTTCACATTTGGCATTGAATTGCTGAGTGTGTGCGGAAGGTTCTGGTTGAATGAAGTCAAAAAGCTACTAGCAGGGATGTCACTTGTTGTCCCCATACCAGAGAGTATATTTCAGCTACACCACAAGGACAAAATTATTTGGACACACCTCTTAATCATTGAATTCAGGTGTTTCATTCAGATCCATTGCCATAGGTGTGTAAAGTCAAGCACCTAGGTTAGCAGACATCTGTGAAAGAATGGGTCATTCTGAAGAGCTCAGTGAATTCAAGCGTGGTGCTGTCATAGGATGCCACCTTTGTTCAATTTCTAACCTGTTAGATATTCCTCAGTCAACTGTAAGTGGTATTATTGCAAAGTGGAAGTATTAAGGAACAACGGAAACTCATTCACAAACGTGAAGTAACAGAGCAGGGTTGCCGAATGCTGAGGCGCATAGTGCGTAAATGATGCCAACGCTTGGTTGACTTAGTAACTAAAGAGTTACAAATGTATTGTAACGTTTACCCCAACACAAAAATTGTGCATCAGGAGCTTCATGGAATGGGCTTCCATGGCCGAGTAGCTGCGTGCAAACCTCATATCATACAATGCTAAGCTTTGGATGGAGTGGGGTAAAGCACGCCACCACTGCACTCTGGAGCAGTGGAAATGTGTTCTGTGGAGTGAAGAATCATACTACTCTATCTGGCAGTCGGATGGACGAATCTGGGTTGGGCAGAAGCCAGGAGAACATTACCTGCCTGATGGCATTGTGCCAACTGTAAAGTTTGGTGGAGGAGGAACAACACTATGAGGTTGTTTTTCAGGAGCTGGGCTAGGCCCCTTAATTTCAGTTAAGGGAACACTTAATGCTTCAGCATATCGAGACATTTTGGACAATTCTATGCTTCCAACTTTGTGGGAACAGTTTAACAAAGACCCTTTTCTGTTCCAGCATCACAATCCCCCAGGTGCACAAAGCAAGGTCCGTAAAGACATGGTTGGGTGAGTTTGGTATGGAAGACCTAGACTGGCTAACACAAAGCCCGACCTCAACTCCTTCGAACACCTTTGGGATGAACTAGAATGGAGATTGCGAGCCAGGCCTTCACGCCCCGTCCAGCATTACAGTGCCTGACCTCACAAATGCTCTTCTGGATGAATGGGCAAAAATTCCCACAGAGAAACCCCAAAATCATGAAGAAGGCCTTCCCAGAAAAGTGGCAGCTGTTAGAGCTGCGAACGGGAGACCAACTCCATATTGATGCCTATGGATTTAGGATGTGATGTCAAAAAAGCCTCCGTAGGTGTAATGGCCAGGTGTCCCAATCCCTTTGTCCATATAGTGTATGTAGGCACCTTGATATCCTATCTATGAAAGTCCACTCCAGTGGAGAAAAGATGCAGTCTTGCAGAAGGCCCACACCCATTCTGAATGACTTTGAATTCATGCCCTGGTACATAGCTTTCCACTATTGATACTGTCCCCTACTGAGTGGACTTATGCACTGGGTTAAGGAGTTCTTCAAACGATTCCTTAAGGCACTCAGCAACATCCTTAGGGTTGGTCAGCACTTCCCCAATCCTGCTGAACACGTCCTGAACAAGGTCCCCCTTCTGAGACATCAAATGATTTTTCAAAACATCTTTGGTAGCCAGTCAGTCTCTCTCCAAACTCCTCCCTTGCACAAGTTTCGCCTCTACGGCCACCTACGCCGAAGTCGTTCAAGCCTGTTGATACCTTTGAGCGGTCTCAGGAAAGCCTTGTGTAAGCATTTCCC